TGTTTGGTTTTCTGTACTTGTGTCAGTTTGCTAAGTATGATGGTTTCCAGCTTCATCCATGTCCCTGCATAGGATATGAACTCATACTTTTTGATGGCTGCATAGTATTCCATGGTGCATATGTGCCACATTTTCTTTATCCAGTTTATCACTGATGGGCATTTGGGTTAGTTCCAAGTCTTTGCTATTGTAAACAGTGCCACAATAAACATATGTGCGCATATGTCTTTGTAATTGAATGTTTTATAATCCTTTGGGTATATACCCAGTAATGAGATTTCTGGGTCAAATGGTATTTCTATTTCTATATCCTTGAGGAATTGCCACACTGTCTTCCACCATGGTTGAATTAATTTACACTCCCACCAACAATGTAAAAGTGTTTCTATTTCTCCATATCCTCTCCAGCATCTGCTGTCTCCTGATTTTTTTAATGATCACCATTCCAACTGTCATGAGATGGTATTTCAATGTGGTTTTGATTTGCATTTCTCTAATGATGAGTATGATGAGCTTTTTTTCATGTGTTTGTTGGCTGCATGAATGTTTTCTTTTGAGAAGTGTCTGTTCATATCCTTTGCCCACTTTTTGATGGTTAATGCCTTTTAAAAATGAGTCACCGATGCTACTATACTGCTTTCTTGGGCAGTCATAACAAACTACTACAAAGTTGGTGTCTTAACACAATAGAAATGTATTCTCACATTTCTAGACATCAAGGTGAAGACCCACATTTCTTAAAATGCCTCTATGGCAGACTCTGTTCCATGCCTCTTCTAGCTTCCAGGGGTAGTTGGCATTCTTTGACTTGTGTTCACATAACTTTCTGCTCAGCCTTCATCTTCACATCCCATCTCCTCTGTGTCTTCCCTTCTGTGTGTCTATCTCTGAACTCCCCTTTCTCTTTTTGTTGTAAGGATAGATGTGATTGCATTTGGGGCTAGCCTGGATAATCCAAGATAAGATTCTGTCTCAACAGCCTTAATCTATACACACCTTTTGTCATGTAAGGTAATATTACAGGTTCTGGGGCTCCAGCCACGGATGCAGCTGGCATTCAACTTATTAAAACTGTTTTTTTTTTTTCACACAGTTCTGTAGTCTGAGTACATCTCATTCAAAATGCTTGAGACCAGGTCAGGTGTGGAATTTTTCACTTGTGATGCCAAATAGGAACTTAAAAAGTTTTGGATTTTGAAACATAATGTTTGATTTTTTGATTTGAGGATGCTCAACCTGTATTAGGAATCAGGAGAATTGTTTGGTATGGGAGGTCCACTTCCAATTATTCATAGATAATTACGTACCGGTTTATGTTATTTGTTTTCTAACTTGCCTGTTATAAAGCATCTTCAGTTAGTTTGATTGTTATTGCCAATTAGTATTCTCAGAGTCATTTAACTACTGCAATAGTCTAAAAGTAGGTTTTGTGTTACTGACATTTTGTGGGGTATGCACTATTGATATCTTTCTTGTCTAGGTTTCAAGGTAAATTAGTCAATAGGATTTAAGAGATGGTCCAATTTGAAGAATAAAATAGCCTCTCAGGATTAGAGTCCAATTTTAATTAAATTACATGTTGGAAAAGAAAAGATTTGGTTCAAATTAATTTCTGTTGTAAAATTGGGTGAATTGTCACCTAAACTTAAACACTGTACATTAATTTGATGTTGCTGTATCCTTTTGCAGGAAAAAAAGGAAACAGTGATAAAAGCAGACAGTTATTCTTGGAGAACATATTAATTCATTTAGGTGAAAGCATAGGCCACTTTATAAGTAGGATGTAGAGAAAAACTCATGCTTTAACTATAGGGCTTCTCAAGGAATTTATAGTGAAACTGATAGTCTTCTAAGAACTATTGATTAATTTGGGAATTAGTTTGTTGAGTACATTATTTCTGAACTGTATTTTGAAATATAAACTTCTGGATGGCATGGAATATTGATAAGATTCATAGAATTGAGGCATGTTGGTTTAGGTTTGAGAAATTGAAGAACGATTATTCACAAAATAAAGGAACATTCTAATATTCTATGGGACTGAAAGAGCCTTGAGTATAACACTATACTCTAGCCATGGATCATCATTAATAATTTCTAATAATTTCATTACTCCTATGTCTTACATATTTTTCTCCATCATCTAATCAACCCACATTGATTCTAGATGAAAAGAGAAAGTTATTGGGCTTCAGTCCGTCCCACCACATAAATTGTTGAAAAACACTTGCAAATCACTCTTGTTAACAGTGATATTATATTGGAGCCTATACACTCAAAAACATTATGGAAAGCACAGGTGTAAATAAGCTGCAAAGATGATGAATTCCAAAAGACTTTGAAGGATAGTTGTAGTTTTTGAATTCCAAAGATAAGAATATGAATTCTGATGGACAAGACCATCAGAATGGACATGTACAAGAACTAAATAAAACTGAAGGAGTATACTTTTATGTGGAAAGAGTTAGCTTTCATGTTGTTATGTTAAAGTGGAATCAGCAACAAAGGCCCTAATAGAAAAATACTAGTTGTGGTAGCAATTTGGTCACCTACAAGACATTATGCTTACTTAGAAAAGTCACTTTGCTATTCTGATCCTATATGCCCTCATCTATAAAATATGATTCAGAATATCAGCTCCTTGGATTTCAGGGGATTATGAAAATAAATTATTTGAATTTTTAGAAAAAAAGACAAGCCCTAAAACATTGTTGTTTTTTTTAATGCACCCTGTTATATAAGTAAAGCTCATCAGAAAACATATGGCATATATGTAATTACTAAGGAATAAAATTAGCAGATAGCAAAGCCCAACTTCTGGCTATAATAATTAAAGCTACTTTTACAGAGGGAGTAAGCTTTATGCCTGCTTGGACTTCAGGAAGCAGTCCTCAAAATAGTAGTTTTTCCAAATTGAAGGAAAACTTCATAGGCTTAAGGATGTTGGTTTTCTACAAGCTTTGTAGTCAGACACATAAACTCTAAAACACTACCTGAAAAAAAAAACTTTTAAATCACTTTAATGGGATATGATTTACATTAAAAAGCTGTACATAGTGTATACAACCTGGTTAGTTTGTAGATAAGCATACGCCTGTGAAACCATTACTACGATCTATGCCTTAAATATATCCATTCCCAAAAGTTTGCTCCTGCCCTCTTTATTATCTTTTTTTGAAAAGAACACAACATAAGATCTACCCTTATACCACATGGTTTAAGTGTACAATATTGTTAACTACAGGTACGGTATGTCTCTAAGATCTGTTCATCTTGCATAATTTTATCTCTGTTTGTTTTTTCCTAATTCCTTCCCATTTTCCTCTTCTAGTCCCTGGAAACAACTATACTATTCTCTGCTTCTGTGTTTTTTTATCTTTAAATAATGTTTCCACTAAAACTCTTTCATTTTTAAAACTAACGACTAGTAAATACATTGTATGAGTCTATCTGCATAAATGTATATGAAATATATGATGATAGTTTAATATATGTAAAGAAAAGGATATAACATAGACTACTATAGATATAACTATCAAGCAGAGTTTTCCTGGATTATTTATCCATTTGTTGAAAGAAACTCTGGATGTGAGTTAATCTTTCTGGGAGAAAATGGGCCAATTATTTGAGGTGCTGTGAAATTTTACAGAAATGTTGGTGAGTCTATAGAATTTTGACTTTTCAAGATCTCTTCTGTCTGGTCCCTATGCTGGCCTGCATAAATTATATCAACTATTTTTATTTTCTTGGAGGGCTGCCACATGGAGCCTGTATAAATTATGAGTATAACTAAGCTTATAGACTGGAATATCAGAACCTAATTTTTAGATATGCCTCAGTCTCTCTTCTGAGGCTTTGCCTTGAAGCCTGGGAAGTTCTCTCTGCCAGAGGAAATAGATGGAAAATACATTTTCTCAATATATAAAGGTTTTCTACCTTTGGATGAGCTGGTTACTTGGGGTGGGATGGAGCTGCTATTCTTGAATTACCCGGTTTTAAAAAGCCACAGATGGCTTGCAAGGCTCCTGGTAGGACCAGAGCTGATGTGTGAGCCTCTTCTCATTGCTCTTATCCCAGGCCCAGGAGAACCATTTAGTGTGAACTCTTCATTCCTAGCACAAGTTATACATTCAGTTCCATCCTTATGAATTTCTCAGAGTTTATCCATGCCTCTTAAGCTTCTTTACTCATCTCGTTTCTAGTCCCCACCCACCATTTCTCGTGGACTTGGCATGTAAATCACACTTTCCTTGTTCTCTCATACAAACCTCATTTGACCTGGTGACTGGGTTGCCTTTGTTCAGCACTTTGGAATCGGTGGCCCTGGATATAAGGCAGACATTGGTTATTTAATTGAAAATATTGACATTTTATTAGTTTTGAGCTAGGCAAAGAAAGCCTTGGTCCAAACAAAACAAACTCTTAGATACTAAATTCTAAATATTCCGCACCATATTTAAATTGAAACAAGGATATTTGATGCATTAGAGATTTCGCATATTTTTCTATCACCCCAATTTGATAGAAAGTTTGAATTCTAAATCAGAAGATCTCTAAAATAATTTTTGTTTCTTTCTTAAATCCCAGTCTGTCTTATTATAATATTGACAGTATTTCTAATAATTATATTTTTGTTTTTATTTTCATTGTCAATGGATATTTATTTAATTGAAAAGTTATTTAAATGAATATAGGTAATTAAGTGAAAGACAGTAAATGACAATAAATTTTCTTCCTCTTAAATATAGGCTTGTAATCTACTTTTTTTAAAAAAACAAAACCTGGTATTTAAAATCTTATACTATTTTATTTTTTTCTCAAGTGTTTGGTCATTTTAGCCATATCTTAGAAGTTCTGTTATTGGATTGAAAAAGATATATTCAATTTTGCTAATTATTAAAAGATTTTCAAAATTATTTGGGTGATTTAAAGGCAGTGGCTCTGATTAGGCATATTGAATTCAAATATGCATGTAACAATTTGTTTTTCTATTTATTTAGATAATCTGAAATCTACTCTACCTCCATTCCTTTGTATTGCCTTCAAATATCACACTTCAAGTTATAGTGACTAGGCTTAAAGATTTCACATATCATCCAAAGAAATCTGTTCAAGTGGACATCTATCAACAGGTAAAACTATGCTTTTAACTCTTTTTTTCTTGGCTGTAATTACAAATTAAAGAAACAAGGCACAACAGATACAAATTGCATTAAAATATTACAGAATTGTGCACAGGAAAAAAGTCATGAAGCCAATGAGTGTGTATGACTTGGATCTTGACTGTTGGTCAATTCAAGAGTCACTAATAAGGAAGAGGTGACAATGTTGGAATTGGAAATTTTGGAATTGATTGGTTCTGGGTCTGTTTTCTAATGGATCAGTTAAGAGGTCATAAGATGTCATTTTATATGAGGAAAAACAAAATAAGTAGTAAATAAGAAAATGCAGAAGTGTATGAGTGGTGCCTTACACCCTGAAGCATGCAGTTATTATTAAAGTCAAGGACATATGCTGAAAACAGAGAGTAAAGTATCATGAGAAATAAATTGAGGAACTGTGGGAAAAAAACTAATACAAAAACGGAAAAGATTGAGGAGAAAAATGCTTAATCATATGTTTTTTATTTAAAGACAAGGAAACTTGAAAAGAACGATTTGTGTAGCATCTGAGAAAACAGCTTGACTTCTATAATAAAGCAGGAACAATTTAAAGTTAACAGTTCAGAGAACGAACATGCAGTACATTAGAAAAACGTGAATTTAATAGGGAATATAAATCAGAATTCCTAGGTGATCTTCCTTCAGGTGAGAATCTAGAGAAATGTGAAATGGTTGATTATCTATGGAAGGCTGATGTGCAGGTCAACTATTGTCATTTAAAATTTTTAAAGAAAGAACATTTGTGCATGAAAATAAGTCTATGGTGATGATTGATACTTAGAGCTGGTGAATATGTAGTTGTGTGGGTGCATGTGCACACCCATGTAGGTGCACGTGCGTGTGTTTGAGATAGAAAAACTGGAGGAGTCAAAGGAAAGGGCTGGTAGTGTACGCCATTACTATACATTTTCATTTCTTTCCGTTTTTCTGATGCCTCTGTTTCCTTTTTTTTTTAGTCCTTTTTTGAATTTGAATCGTGGCCTCATCATTTACTTGTATATACTGTAGTCAAGCTGCATTTAGCAAATACTGCTTTCCTTTACTTTTCATTTCAGATGTCATCTAATGCCAATCTCTTTTCAGGCACGTATATCATAATTGCTACCAGCATTTGCCATTGTATTACTGCCCTGGTCTAGAAAGGACTGGTTAAAAAAAAAAAAAAGTCTGCCTCAAACAAATATCTATGATCCTAACATTTTATTTTGATTTGTTCCTCTTTAACTTCATTACAAAACAAAACCTGAAACTTCATACTTACAGAGATGAAATGAAGCAGTTGGCCTAATGGGGGAAACGTTTTTTTTTCTTTCCAAGCTCAAATATTTACAGCTATTTATTAATCAGTTTATCTTTTATTTACCCTATTATATGTCAATAGCTATACTGAGAAATTGGGATACAATAATTGACCTGTTATCTTAGAATCTGATGGGAAAGAAAGATATTGAATAAATTATTAGAAATACTATTTGAAGGCAACAATATTGTAGATGTTTCCAAATTATTCGTTGGGAGAATGAGGAATTTGGAGCAAAATACTATTTTCCTATGGTTCAAATAGAAATCAGAACTATAAGAAAAGTACTTATTACAGTAGCTCATAATATTGAGACAAGGTAAGAATCTAAACATTCCTGAATTAAAAAAAAATAATTTAGAGAATATTAATCAGTGAAATACTGTTAAAACTGATCACGCAACTATTTATGACTTTTTAAAGAAATACAAATAAATAAAAATTCAAATATTAGAAGTGTACTTCTATATAGTACATTTATTTTTATTAAATGTATATACATAAAAATATACACACATTGAATACACATATATACAGGTAAATATTTACTGGCTTTGTTGTTTCATCAATTCTAAGAAGCACATGATTTCACATTTTAACATCTTTGAAATCAGGACGTTTTACACTGGATGGCATCTTATGATCATTGTTGCTAAGGTGGCAGGAATGGCAGAGTCACAGCTTATGCCTGTGCACATTTTAATGATTGTTTCTGATCATTATTGAACAGTTTCAATCTCTTGATATTTCAGTCGATAAACCATTTGTGGACCATTAGAGGAAGGAATATAAGTTTTGTTGTTCACTGAATATCTTCTGTTTCTATTTTCTGGTAAGGTGAAGAACATCAGTGTCAAAATTTAAAGTGGCATAAGCAGCTTGAAAGAAATTTCTAGAAATGGTAATGGAGTACTTTGCAGAAATGCCAAACTGTGGATGCTCCTTATAGGCCAGAAGAGGATACTGAATAGGAAATCACAGCTGCTGCACACTGTGTTTCAAAAAGTGATTCAGAAAAACCATAATTCAATTGTGAAAATATTTAGCAATATTTAATGAGTTGGAACTCATTAAATTTTTTTTAGTATATATTTATACACGTAATTTTGATATAACTTAAAATTGTCATTTTCAATTGGATAAAATGTGTTATGTAAACATGTATATTACTGAAACTATAGCAGAGTATTCACCAATATGTCTACAATAGTATACTCTAGTGTTAGGATTGTGAGTGATTTACATATTTTTCTTTATGTATTTTTTTACATTTTAAATTGCCAATTACTGTACAATTGGCAAATGATAGTTGCTGATTTTAATCTTTAAGTGAAAATTTATTTTACATTTGTAGAGTAATGACTAAAGTAGAAAAATAATACATTAACTTCCAGATTTTAGAAGGACAAGTTGGAAGCTTTTTTCCTTTGGTGTAAACATAATTAGTAAAATACAAGAACTGGTATTTACAGAACAGAATGGCTCTAACTACGTGAAAAGATACTCAAAATCATTAGTACTCACAGAATATAAATTAAAATCACAATGAAATTTTTCATGTCTACTGCATTAGAAAAAAATTAAAAATTATGCATTCATCAGGATATGTGGCAAGAACACTTATGCACTGCTGGTATCAGTGTAAGTTTCCACAGTAAATCTTCTGTAGTTCCTATCCAGCATCTCTAGAGAATGGTTTGCACAAATGCCCCAAGAGAGAAAAGTACAGGAATGTTCATAGGAGCATAATGACATCTAACTGCAGACAGTCTAAATCTCTATACATACTTACAGAGGGTTACATATAAATATAGATACATACACACATATATTCAGAAATGAAATATGGTCAATCCTTATGAGTGATTCCATATTTGAGAATTTGCATACCACAGAAATTTGTGACTCACAGCACTTTCGCATTCATTTTCTGACATGCACAAAATAGCAAAAGGATTTGTTATGCAACACTTACATTCCCAGATGAGGTCAAACAAGGCAAGACTCTGACTTCTGGTTTTAGATCTCATAATGTAAACCAGTATTCTTTCTACCGTCTAACACGTTTTTCACATTTCGTGCTTTTTGTTGGTGATCTTGCTGTTTAAAATGTTCCCTAAGAGTAATGCTAAAGCATTGTCTAGTATTCCTTAGTACAAGAAAACTGTGAAGTGTCTGATAGAAAAAACAATTGTGTTAGATAAGCTTAATCCAGACATGAGTTACAGCGCTATTCACTGTAAGTTCATTGTCAGTGAATCAGGAATATGTATTAACTAAGGTTCTTTAAACAGAAACACATATAAGACAAGCTTTTGTATTGATTGGTTAATGAAAATGTGATCAGAGTCTCACAGAAATATAACCTTGTTTTCTACTATGTGCAGCAGTTCAGCATTTGCTGATTCAGTGTTCATGGTGACTTTGTAGAACACGACTTAAATGAATAATGAGCATCGACTGGACTGTGCAACATCAGATTTATAAGTCTATGTGCATCATGTGTAAATGTAAAATTATAATAAATTAAGAATGTTTCCAAGATTACATATGTCATATGCATATTAATGTATGCATATAATATATAAAATTTAATATATATTTGAAATAATAATTTTATTAGTTATTTAAAATATTAAGAATTAAAATTTGACATTTATACATTTTAGGCAATGCAAATTTTATATAAAATATATATTTAGTTTATGTACTACATATAAGTTTACATATACATATACATATACACACGTGTATACAGTTAAAGTATAAATAACATTATATTAAAAGCCATAATACAATTTGAATTAGTTGTTGCATTTTGGTAGAGAAAGAGTGATGTGGTCAGAGAGGAACACACAAGCGATTAGATTTAAAATGGCCATTGCTATTTTCTAAAGATCCTAAAATTATTTAATATTTTTAGAGAAACTCTGGAGGATTTCACATTCAGCATCAACTATGATTTATTGAACACTCAACAATGTACAGACCACTAAGCTGAGGCAAGCATACACTATTTCATTTAATCCTTATACTACTCTTGTGAGGTAGGTACTCTTCAGGCAGTTTTTTTGTCACTCAAAAGATGAGATCATTATGTAAATTTCACTTTAAGATTTGGCTTTTTGCAATGGGGAAAGGATTCCCTATTTAATAAATGGTGTCGGGAAAACTGGCTAGCCATGCGCAGAAAGCAGAAACTGGACCGCTTCCTGACACCTTACACTAAAATTAACTCCAGATGGATTAAAGACTTAAACATAAGACCTAACACCATAAAAACCTTAGAAGAAAACCTAGGCAAAACCGGTCAGGACATAGGCATAGGCAAGGACTTCATGACTAAAACACCAAAAGCATTGGCAACAAGAGCCAAAATAGACAAATGGGATCTAATTAAACTCCACAGCTTCTGCACCGCAAAAGAAACAATCTTTAGAGTGGACCAGCAGCCGACAGAACTGTGAAAAAACGTTTGCAATCTACCCATCTGACAAAGGACTTATCTCCAAAATCTACAAAGAACTAAAACAGATTTACAAGGAACAAACAAACAAACTCATTCAAAAGTGGGCAAAGGATATGAACAGACACTTTACAAAAGAAAGACATATGAGGCCAACAAACATATGAAAAAATGCTCATTATCACTGGGCATTAGAGAAATGCA